GAATGAAGAGGCTTGCTTGCACCACTCTGTACCCACTTAATTTCTTGTTCCAGATTTTTTCACGTTTACGTGCTATTCCTAAGGGCCTTATTCAAAAGGTTGGATTTGCACTGTATAGATTCAGGTTCGGCATTGTCTACTCAAAGTTTTCCATGGCCATTGCCTTGGATGTGTGCTAGAGAGGGAAATTAATTTGATAAATCAGTATTTACACTTATCTCTGAAGTGGAGAGAGAAACTGCTTTCATACATGATGGAGAAAAATGATTAGACATTGACACAGTCCATAAATTCATAGATTTTAAGGATTGAGGACTATTAAATCATAGTCTCATCTACTATATAAAAGAAAGCCAGTGAATCTCACCTGATCATTTCAGCATTTAACTCAATAAGTTGTATGCATGAAAATCTCTTGTCCAGAAAAGCATCCATCATTAGTTTGAAAGTATCAAGAGATGGGGAAATAACCTCTTTCCTTAGTAATCATTCCAGTAGTGAATCAGTCAGCATTTAAAGGAGTAAGACATCCTACTTCTAATCTGAGTTTGCCTGGCTTCAAGGTTCAATCCTAAATTCTTCATATTCCCTTTCCTGGCAGACTGGAGACTGCCTTAGCAATTGGAACCTTCTCTCATGAAAATATTTCGGACCATAACGAAACTTGTAACTGAATAACTAAACCATAACCGAATTCCTTAAATCCCTAGTTGTAAAATATAGGGTTTTTTGCCCCCAGTTTGTAAATCTTTTCTCTGGCCCTTATCTTCAATTATTCAGCACCTTTTTTAAAATACAGAGAAGTAAGGTGCTTTCAATTCAGTTTGCTGATGTATTTCAGGGGAGTATGATTCACAGGTGATTCACAAAGATTATGCAAGACATCATGAGGCAGCTTCTGTGTTGCTTTTATGTTTCATGTCTGCCAAGTTATCACAGTGTGTCATACCAACTCTGGTTTACTTTTGTTGTCTAACTGTAGAAAATGTGGTAAAGAATCAAGAATAAGATCAGGTCTCCTGAGCACCTATGTTTTATGTTCTCCTCCTCCTAAATATGCAGTTCCCACAGCTGAAATCAACAGAAAAGTAAGTTACATTTACAAGTATTATAAAAATTTGTGTGGACTATAAAAGCTGGTACCATGAATGATAACCCGTCTGCCACTTCTCTCTTGTGCTGATGACAGTGACATCTTTATTGCAGCCCTTAGTGTAGACTAAAGAGGGTAAAACCCTCATCTTGTTTGTGACTTTTCCAACCACTTTCTCGTGCCACAAATCCATTCTGTAGTCAAGGGGTCTGTCAAATGTCTGCAGCTCAGGTGGGGTGATGTGTTCTTCCTGCCTATGAATAACACTGATCCCTGCTAGCTTTTTGTATTATGATTTGATGGGGATGTTAGAGTTTTAAAATGGGATGTGGCCTAGAGGGCATGTGCTTCAAAGTAGCTCACCTACTTTCTCAGTGTGGTACAGTGTGTCCCTCTGGCAGGAGAAATGTCGGAATCCAAAATTTTTTTCCACCTATCTGAAAGATTGACATCTGAGCTGCGTGCTGTGAGTTACAGGGATTTGTTATTTTCTGAAGCAGGAGCATCCTGACGCGGGTCCTCTTCAGAAACTTAGTGAGTGCTGTGTGCAAGGTGGAAGAATAGGGTGATGGGGTAGGGCACAACAGATCTCCTTTCAACTGCATCTAATATTTGTCACATTGAGAAACAGCCATATAAGGAGATGCCAGACTTGTAGCTGAACTACAGCCATGTAGTGGGATTCCTACACTCAACTGTACCAATTCCAATGGGTGTTGGAAAATGATGGTCTAACTGTTGGCAAAAAACAGGCGAGTGGATAACTGCCTTGATTGGATGGGTCATTTCACATGGGGATGTTGACCATAGAGAATAGGTTAAAAAAGTAGCGTGGGAGAAGATCAGTTCTAGCCCTCCCACTGTAGTGCGTGAGGAGTCAAGTTCTTTTTCTCTTTATTCATTTATTTTTCTCTTTGTCTCTCCACTGCTGTCAAGTCAAAAGCTCTTACTGAGAAGAGGCTGACTGATTTCAGCCAGTGCCTAGCCTCACCAGCCTGCACTTTTGGAGAATTTGATCATTCAGTTGCTCCACAGCCCCCATTTCTGAGACTCGCCTGGTATGCAAGCAGTGCAGCTAGCAAAATGATTGCATTATTGCCTCTTTGTCAGCCACACAAACAATACTTTTTCATGGATTTTAATCCATGATAGCTAAAAGAAAAAGAATTTTACTTCTACATTCATAGGTGTGTAAATGGGAGGTATCTGTCCTGGACGGCTTCCCTCTGCTTCAGCTTGCTTTCTTCAGGCACGTGCAACATCGCGTGACTGGTAAGGAAGTATGAAAAGCTCTGCCTGGGTTATCACTACCTGCCCCACGTGGACTTTACATGTCTTTAATAGGTCAGAATTTACTTAAACTCTGAAATACGGTGTTTCAGAAAGACAAGGACCATCATTCTTCTGTATTAACACTTAAACTAGCACTGAATGGTAATGAGATTTCTCAGGCCATTTCTCCTCTTGTGTTTCTTCCGGCTAGAACAACCATCTGTGTTGTTACAATACCCTGTATAGTGAAAAAAAGCTTAACTTCGGATTTCAACTTTTAAATGAAGCAAAAAGAAAACTATTGTATCCATCAGGACTTGTTTCAATTCCTTTCTGTTTATCCAGAGCTTGGCGGTGTGAATTAAAGAGGGGAGATTCTCAACGAAGGGTGGCTGATGCAGTTCAGGGTTTCTTTTTACTCCAGCTATCCCACTGCCGGTGTGTGAAGTATTTTGTGTTTTATTTCTGATTGTGGACTGCACTGAGGAAATCGAAACTGTGTTGATAGGGCTGCCAGTGCCTTCATTAACAGGTTGGGTTCTAGGAACCCATTTTGGTACTGTGTGACCTTTTATGCTAGTCAATAAAGTCTGTGGATTTGTGCTGGTATACAACTGGAATAACATAGTAATGAGTGAGGCCCCAGAAAACAGCAGCCAGCAACATATCGGTATATTTATCGCTTTTTAAAAGTTATGGCAGCTTCCATTGGCCTATGTAAAGAAGTTTCTTATTGCTTTAGTTAAACCTTGTTTAAACTATTTTAATGTATCTGTGTATGTGCATGTATTCACAGTATCAGGGATGTGGTAGCATTCAGTTTTGTTGTCCTAAATGCTGCTGTTGGTGCCTGCAGTCCACCCAGTTCCATCTTTGTCCCGTGTGTTTAGCACCCATTCCAGCTCCGTGCAGCAGTCACACATACATTATGTAAAATTAAATAATAATAATAAAACATTATTACAGCTTGGGGTGGGGGGGCTGTGAATGGGTTATTACACTTTGCCGATCACCGTAATGACACCTGTTAGAGGTGTGATACAAAAGGCAGTGACAGGCAGTGTAATTTAGTAATTGTGGCTATTGTGCTGTGTAGCTGGTCAGTTCACCGGGCAAGTACAAAGAAACCAGTGTTAAGGCTAAGCAGGGGTGGGTGAGCTTAATAGAGAGAGCTAGAGCTCTTCTGAAAGAAACTTTCGGTGGAGGGCTAACTCCCAGGGGGAAGGAGTTAGAATGGGTTGAAAAGAATGAACAAAAGTATAAAAATGGTACAGGTTTTCCTATTTTAGTTCTTAAAGTGACAGAGGGCTTCTGGTGATGAGCATGGCTCGCACCACTGGCCAGAGGAGGGCGGAGAGGGAGAGAGGGAAGCTTTTGGAATTACTGAGGGGGTGCTGGCTTATTGCAGCTGCACAGCTGAGGAAAGCCCAGGCTAGCGACTGTCTCTTTCTCCGCCTTGCTGAACATCACAGTTGGGTTTGGCAAAATTGTTTTCCTATTAACGTAGTGATAAAGGGGTTATAAGGTGAGTTTTGAGAGGTTGCACAAAACCGCTGCTGGCATGCCATAAACTTGGGCCTTAGAGAAATCTGCGCGTGCATATGGGATTTGAGCGTTCATTTGATGACAGGCCAAGGCCCGAAGAGTTAACTACGTCTTCAGTGACTTCTTGCCCAGTATATAGAAACTGTAATGTTCATGAAGTTTTTTTATATTTGAGATAATGAAACTAAGGATACCAGGATAATTTGTTACTAGTTCCTTTGTAAGTATGTGTGTTTTGTAAGCTGTTTGGAGCACAGACCTCATCTTCCATACCTTGGACACCGGGGAGTGAATACTCAATATTTCCTTAATCTCAAATATCATTGGTTTCGATCATTTTGTGAGCCAAAGAACAACACAAAGACTACACAAATTAATCTTTTCCCTGATGCAATATCCCTATAGACCCCTAATAGACTATGTAAAATGCATAGCCATTAATTAATTTTCTGGGTTTATAATTATGAGAATGCTAAAATGCTTAGAGACTTCTTACACCAGACCTGTTGTTTCTGGGTTTTTTGTTGTTTGGTTTTGTGTTGGGGTTTTTTTTTAAGTACTTTGAGATTGTCTTTATCTCTCCTCACTCCCACCCCCCCATCTAGATATTTGATTTTCCACTGAGCATATTGGTCTTTCTTCATGTGAACCTGTAATTATTGAACAAATTGTTGTCACAATGAAGAACCTCTTAGACGTTTATGAGGATGCATTAGAAAACAATAGTCTTGAAAGATAAGTAGTGGACACAGCAGTGAGACATATTAAGGTTAGATTAACTCATTTAACAGCCTTAAGAGAACAAGGAAGTAGCCTGGAGTTAACAAAGGTCTGCACAGCAGGACATTTATGCTAGCAAATACTAATTCACGTTTGCTAAACAGTATAAACAGATTTGCAGGCAACACCAGGCATCCCATTTAAAGGGATTAGGTGTGCCACTTACCTATTGTTTGGGCTGAGGAATGTAGGGTTCTCAATATGCTCCTCTGCAATTAGCCCAATTAGGCAGACACGCCCTTTGTGCAAAGCCAGTGACAGGGCACTTAATCCCTTGATTGGAAAGGTAATATTTCTTCTTTGAATTCAGGAGCTCGTTCTGTGTTGCTTGCATCTCGGCTGATTCCCCACCGAAGCGTTAAAGCGACCGCGCACCCTGCGTCAGCCAGCCGGGTGATAAAGGGTATTTGGGTTTTACGAACTATGCGAATTGGCGTGTTGACTTTGTTGCAGTCAGCTGATGGGATGCTGCAAGAGGGAGGGAATGCCAACAGGCTTTGTAATGGGAGCAAAACCAAGTGTTAATACATGGGCCACCCCGTGGGCTAATGCGAAGTGCAGGGTGATGCTTTTTTATGTTCACCGTGCACAGCCCTTACTACTAAAAAAAGTCCTCTTTTTTTCCTAGCAAGGGTTAAAAACACAGCAGAGGATTCATGTGATAGACATGCTGTTATCACTAATTTCTGTAGGAAATGATTCATGTTACACTGGAGCTGCAGAAACCCCTGCATTCCTTGTGTCCCGCCTGTCATCCAGGTGGTATATAAAGGCCGTTTCCAGGCTCCTTCAGCTGGTTGGAGGGTCAGTACAGAGTCTCAGAGCCCTGGAAGGAAGATAAAGGACCAGTCCCAAAGGCACCTTCCTAGAAAATTATTACAAAAGAAGGTTGTGTAAAAACAGGAGAAGAATGAGCTGGTATTCAGCCGAGTACTTACGTATTGTCTGCAGGCATCTGAATTAATTGCAGATTATATGCCAAAGTAAAATCAAGTTTTGTGCCAATAAAAAGGAGCTGAAGCAGTGTGTGTTATTGGGTGAGCTTCCTGCACTCTGCTGGCCTTTAGCTGGCTGGAGAGGAGACTGGTCACAGTGCTGAGGACTGCCTTCCCCAGATGGGTGCAGATAGAGCTGACAGCACGGTGTGTGCAGGCTCAGGGCATCACGGCGTGGTCTGGAGCTTCTGCAAACTCCCAGTTGGCCATTACAAGCCGGTTCAAACATAGACCCTAAGGGATCACTGCAATGGATTAGGCTGGTACAGGCTAATTCCTCAAATGCTGGTGGTAAAAGCCTCACCTAATGCATGCTGAGCTTCAAATCTGTCCATCCCCCTTTGTCATCATCAGTACCTGTTTTACTGGCGATAGCGTCGCAGAAATCCATCTCTAGCTACATAGGGATGTCTTTATTCAAAGAAGCCTCTGAGGTTTTGTAAAGGATCTTCCTGGAGATAGAAACACAGAGTTCACAGGGCACAGACGGGAAGAGGTTTGGCACTGGCCTCCATTTCTTGAGGAAAGGAAGAGAACATCCAATCTCTGAAACTGAAGTGGGTTGTTCCACTCATGCCTTTCAGGTTAAAGTATTGTGCATAAAATTATCATATAAGGTGTAAAAGAATGTTTCTTTCAAACAGCCAAGACATTGGATCAAAGGCAACACACCTTTTCCCGAGTGCAGCCTTTACTTCTGGTGAAATCACTGGGGCTCCTTGGTGGGTTGAAGGCAAGGATGTGGCTACAGCCCTGCTTGTGGCCGCATTCAACCTTCCTGGAGTCAGGCTCCGTGTTTGTGTGCAGCGTTTAAAGGGTAATAGCACTAAACACTGCCCTCACAAACCACGGTAATTACTTCTACTGCTGAAAAAACCCAGAACACGAACAAAAATATCATAGAAAAGCTATTTCTAACACTAGTGCTGCTCTTTATGGCTAAGTGGCAGCCATCGTTTTTTTCCTAAATTATGTGTTCTTTTTTCAAGCATTTAGATGATGCAAACCAGATTTTTGTGGCAGCATTATTGCTCATAGCCAGAAGAGCATTCAAGGAAACACTGTATTTCTGCTAAATTGCCATTTATTCAGAACACTTTGAGTTGTTTATCTTTTTTCATTCTCCTGACAAATCAAGTAGCCATTGAGCCTGTATTTCTGAGTAAAAGTTAAGTAATAATTTTTGTAAAAGTAATAGCTACCATCTACTTTTTGGGGGTGAGAGAATGCAAAGTTCTAGCTTTTGCTTTACTTTTAAAAACAAAACCCCCCAGGAAAATTGTTTTTTCAGCTTGACAGTAAAACGTCCTGTTTGTTTTGGATTTTTTTTTTTTATTCTTACATGTATGGTTACAGTAGAATTTTTGTTGGTGTAACTGCATTCTAGGTAGTGTTCTAGAGTTAAGGGGTTTTTATTTGTTTACATATTCTGTGAACTGGTGCTGTTTGAAAAAAAAGATTGTTTGAAAAAAAAGTATTCATTAGAGAATACTATGAACGCCTTTTATTTTTTCACATTGCTTTTTATTCACTTTGAGTGTTCCTAGTAGTAAGTGTTTAATGGAGGGAATGTTCCAGAGGAAAGAAATGGTAACAGATAATCATGCATAGGTATGTAGTTATGAATATTTCTCCCAGGCATGTGAATATGAAAGTTCTTTGGGGTTCATCCAGTCAGCAAGTAAGAACAATACGATGAGATGGAGGTGATTAATCAAGTGTTGCAGAGAGAAAAATATGAATTACAAGTAATCAGAACAGTATCTAGGACAAACAGTTCACAGGCAATCCACAGGCCACACATGTTCGCATGAACAAATTATTGAATTGTTTCAAGGTGAGGACATTTGTATACATGAAAATCTTTGTATGCAGTCGTGAATAGAAAAATGTCCTAGTACAGTTGTATAAATTGTTTAGTTTATAAATTCTATAAAATTCCTTTTTCAAAATAGATCATTTCTATTCTGTCTGTAAAGAGTAGGAAGGGCAGTTGTGAGCTTAGAACTGACTTCAGACTTTTGCATTTAAGAAAGGAAGCTGACGGTCAGCTCTACCCAATGAAGAGTATACCCCTGAAAAAATTCTGTATCGTTCACTTTTGAACATAATACTGTGGTTTATTGAAAGACACTAAAAACTAGACTGAAGGATCAAAATAAATATATTTTTCTTTTTGGTATTTTCTCATTTTTGTCATTTCTGCTGTGCATGTCCTCTTGTTCTACTGCTTTGCTTATGCATAACTGCTAGTTCCCTGCTTGCTTTAAAAAGTCTGGAGGTTTTATGGTGATATTTTTTATCCTTCTTGCTAGGCATTGTAACTTCTAGCTCAATAGTGTTTAATTTAATTACAGTGAATTAAGTTTACCTTAGGATCTTTGGAGCCCCTTAGAGGGCTGATCTGATTAATTACTGTACAAAACAGATTGCTAAAATAACTAGGTTTTATGCAGGTTCTCTTTGTTCTTTCCCTTAGCTTCTGTAATTCATAGACATTGATACAGGATGAGTGAGGTTCCTGTGGGAGACATTGGGCTCCCATGAGTGGGGACCATGAGGGTCCCCTTCCCGGGCTGTAACGTGTGCCCTCCAGTGTGATGAATTTTGTGTGTCGATCCCAGGTAGATGACCAGCAGAGGAATCGGGCTGGCCTTATGTAAATGTAATTATGAATTTAGTGGAAAATTAACTTTGTAATGCAGAGTACAGGCTGAAGTTAATTATGGTTTTAACTGTAGCAACCTTGAATAGCCAAAGCTGGGAAATATATCCTACTGACCCTCAGTGCTCCGGGTCTGTGTAGTGCCTGGGATAGCAGGGAGCAGTGGAGTAGAGTCATGCGAGCTCCTGGCATCGCTACCCTTTTCTATGGGTTCTCACAGGTTTTGTGGTTTGTGTAAGTGGCTGTGGTCCTGCTCCTGAGCCAAACCAGGCAGTCCTTAGCATAGACATGGCACCTACGTATAGACTTCCTTATATGACAAATGAAAAGTGGCTTATACCATTCTTTGGCAGATTTATCCTGCTCCTCTGTAACTTTGGCAGCCTCTCTGGTAACAAAGCCAACACGGTTTTGAGCCGGGTGATGCAACAGGGTGTAAGGGTCTCTTTGAAGGGAAGGGAAACCACCTGTGCTGGGCATGGCTTATATTTTTACTGGATGTAACTGCACAGCAGGCACCGTGTGCTCATCGGGCCTTTGTGTGTCCCTGCACAGCCGGAGGCTGTAGCTGCACTCGAGCTGCAGCGGTGGGGACAGGGGAGGTCTCAGCCCAGAGCAAGCAATTCGCCAGGCTTCATCCTTGCTCACTTCTTTCCCTCGTTCTCCAACACAGAGCATTGTGAATAAAACCAGCCCTTTTCTGAGGAAAAGCAAGCTGGCTAATGCAGGCTCGTCCGTGTCGTATGTGGGAGTGGGATTTCCACAGTCCATTCTGGTGTGGAGGGGTGAAGTCCAGTGTCAGTCTCTCCAAACAGACCGGGGATTTCCAAAGCTAAATCAGGGGCAATGTCCAGTGTTATCCTCTTCAAACAGACCATGCAGCCTCTGGTTTGTGAAGGAGGTGTTAACGGGACCCTATGAGTGTCCCAGCTCTGATTCATTTATAAGCTTTCTGTGATTTTTTAAAAAAATCTACCATTTAAGCTCTGCCATTTGTAATTTTCCTTTGACTGCTGGAGAGGCAGTAAGAAGGGAGGAGAGCTGAGATGTTACTTACTTTCCCCTTTTGGGGTATAGGCCTCATTTTGTGGAACTATTGGAAGTTCTCAGTAGTTTAGTCCTTTTTTGAAGCGCAACAGAAAGTCACTGCTGCACTGATGTCATCAAAGAAAAATGAGCCGGTATTGAGCTGAAAAGTGCATAAAAAGTTTATGGATCTTTTAAAAAAGTTTTACCATGAACTGCAGCAGTAGATTTCGACTTGAACAAAACCAAATCAAGTGTTAAACCTTTCCACATTTAGATGCTGTAATGGTAACTGAAACTTTAAAGGCAGTGTTGAGAGAGGCAAAGTGCTTAGTGAAAGACCCTGACGATGGGCACTGGTGGGGGATCCAGACCAGGAGCGGGGCTGGGCCTGACGGAAATCAGTGCTAAAACTCAGTTAAACTAGACCGGTGCCAAGAATTTATCGCACATCTGTTTTGCCTTGATTTTATATTTAATTATCACCTGCAAAAAGTCTGATTTCTAAGCATTTACTATGAAATTAATAAAAGAGTTTACAAGGCAGTGCTGTAATGCACTCCGGGGTGTGTCCTGCTGGAATGGTGCCATTTCTGAAGTTGTTGAAGTTGTTCCTCATAAAGTTAGTGCTTCGGTTTGTGGTCAGTGCAGAACAATACCCCAGGAAAAATACTGCATAGTTCTGGTAGTACTACCTGGCAGAAAGCTAGCTGTCATGCAGGGCCCCAAAATGTGTAAGGGCTGTGCACACAGCAGGCTTTATTCTGAGCCATAGGTGATGTGGCTCCAAAGTTCTGAAGACTTCCTGACAATCCCTGTTGTGCTCTGCTCATTTCTTC